CCTCGGCTGATGTCATTGTACTAGCGGGTCAAGTCGCGCTTGAAGATGCTGGAAACGTAAAAATCGACTTTATTGGTGGCCGAACCGATGCTGCAAACGGCGACGGCGATGCAATTCTGGCTCCGCGTGACTACTACAGCTCGTCTGTTATTGCTGTGCGAGACGGTATCAAGATTCTGGGTGTATCGCCTGAGGAGGCGGTAGCTCTCGCGGGTCGCCCGCGTAGTGTTGTGTTACAGAAGACATTGGGGTTCAGTGGTTCGTACAGCAACAACTCGACAATGCTGTCAAATGAGTACTTTAAGGTGCTGCTGACCGAATCGTGGACGGCGATCTCGGCGAAGGAATTCAAAGCTACTGATAAGAACATATTCATGCTTGATGTAGACTTGGCGCTGCTGGAAGCACCGGAGCTGAAGATATGGGTGGAAAAGTTTGCCAAGGATGAGATGGCTTTCAAAAAGGTCTTTTCGGGTGCCTGGCACAAGGTCATGACGGCTGACCACTTCAAAGCTGATAGCTACTAAACAGTAGCTTTCAATGAGTCTCAACATTACATATAACAGTTCACTTTGCATTGTTCTTAGCATAGTTTAAAATAAGTGAAAAGTGTATAACGCTATACCATATTGCCCTGCCGTAATGTTATGCAATCTGTTTCGGCGCGCTATCATCTTCATCAATGTCGATAGATCGGTAAAGCATCAAAAGAACGTATAGAGGTGGGTCCGCCCTAAACACCATGTAGTTAAAATTGTTTTTGGGACCATGAATGTAGGCTTATCATTTGAAAGCTCGTCTATTTTTATAGTTTATAGATGTCATGACTTCTCAATTGTACCTAGCTCATAATATTCACCAACTCAAACATACAATCTATTGAATGATACGTGAATAAAAGTAGGTAGATACAGCACCTATAAAATCTTACGATCAGAGACCAAAAAAATCAGAAGATCGGTCGGGGGACGTGACTCCTGGTAGGCTCATCAGAGTTCGTTTCTTTACGAGTACTTATGCAGAAAATAGACATATACCCGCAACATCGTTTTTCAACAATATTGAGCGGCGTTATCTCAACACGTTGTTGACTTAGATGCAATTTGCTAAAAAGCTCTAAAAGACTAAACTGAACGAATATAGCAAATATTCGGAAAACGTCATGAAGTATTATGCACTTAAGCGCCGGTTTCCTATGATATGCCGAACGGCGGTGAGTATCATCAACCATTTAGTTGGCCTTCTTAAAACGTCAATTAGTGTTCGAGTCACAAGGTTACAGAAACGCCAATAATCCAAAGCTTGAGGGGCATATTTCGGAAATTATCAAAATGCCAATGGCGTGCATTTGACTAGATGCAGTACAAGAAACAAGTCGTATCGCTCGGTGCAGCTTAGGTAGTGTGGGGTCGACGAGAAATTAAAATCAAGTAAGATCCACACCATGGGACGCTCGCGTACGTAACCAAGGCTGAAATTCAGGGTAGCACCACGACCATGGGCGCAGTAGCGATCAAGGTGTCGAGAATCATAGTTCTGTCGAGGAGATTAAGGCGACTTAGCCAGAGTAAAAATTGGCGTGGTCACAACTGGTAAACAGTTAAGACGTAGCACCTCATCATCTCATAACGTCAGCTTCTGATGAGAAGCAAATTATATTTTTGCTTATCTGGGATTTCCCATACGTTTGTAAGAATTTATCAATATGTTATTCTACAGCGCTTCTAAGGCCGCCTTTATAACCGATTCTCGGTGGGGGTATTGTGCTGCACAACGTTGCGGCTGGTGCAGAATATTCTTCTTCGCAACTCGTATAGGTTGCCTCCTTTACGAAGATAGCAGTGCGACCGATGTTAAACTCAGTTTGTTTGCGGGGCACTGTCGAAGGCAGGATCCAGCGTGCCACGCTTGTCGGTCTCGTTGAGTCGAGAATCAACACCGCGCACTGCAGACCATCTGGCATTTGTACACGCGAAGAGTTGAGCGCAGTTAGATGATCACAAATATTCTTGAAACTGTATGTGCGGCTTGTTGAGAAAAGTAGCTAGTGCTTATTCTATAGTCTTTCGACAACCTCAATCCGCTTTCAAATAAAATTTTATCCTTTGCATGTTCAATTCCAGCGGTATTCGTGATCACTATTGGCGTGGCGCTTAAAGGGTTAATTATTGGGAGGAGTAGCAAGGTTAACCTGTTTGACATTTTTCTACCAGAGCAACTTTCACGAACTCGACCAAGGTCAATCATGACATTATTTCGTCATTGTGTAGGGATACAGACACAATGTCGTATCGGTAATTTATGATAACTTAGCCGTGGTCAGCTACACTGCAATTTTGAGCGGAATAACGATTTTTCATAATTTTGTCAGAGCAATTTGCTTCGCCGGTCAAGTGTAAGAGAATGATCAAATGTAGACTAAGGTGTGATGAATACGATGTTCAGGTTATCTCAGCTTTCGCGTCACGAAAGAACGGATCGAGGGAATCGGCACCTCATTTGCATTACTCTTTAAAAACGCTTGTGACATGGACTACGCAATATGTGTACACGTTGATGTAATATTTGGTCTTTGCGTTAAGTACACCATGTTCCATTCCAAAATGGCTGATGTTAAGTTTGCCAGGACAATCGTCCGTCACGTAAACATGCGCTTTTACTGCTGATGTGAACTTAGTATCATTCTTAGATGGTAATGATTCTTTCGCCATATTAATCGAACTTCGACTTACGTACACTGGCTTTTAATCGAAGCTACATTCATCGGTTCCCAAGAAGCAATGAAATTGTGGCAGTGGCCTATATCTGGCATGCCTCAGCTATCTGTGGAAATAAGCAACTCGTTTCTACGCACATCACACAGCATGGCATTGTCGCGCAATCCTTCCACGTATAATAAATACTCAGCACTTGTAGACACGAGATGCCAATGTATGACATAGGTTATCTTTTGATTTGGAGCTGTGGTTGGATATTTCATTGACAACCTATCCTATTGCTAAGTCGCGGTATCACGATTTTCCGCGTTTTTTGTCTGAGAAGCCTCGGAGCCCTTGAATTTCAACAACCTGTAGCTCATTTAGCTGTTTCACGGTTAGGTTTGTATGATAGACGACAATTGTGTTTAGCTCAAAAAGCTACGTCGACTATATATAAAAAATCCGTGGCTTCCATATTGTCAAATCGAGACAGATTAGCTGGAGCAGACTGATGAAATATCGGTTCCAATGTGAGTGCGGCCCTGTCACCTCTAACGCACTAATTTTACAGCCAAACGCTCTAATATTTATCAGCGAGAATTGACAATGGTTTTTCTTACATTTGATGAACACTCGATTTCGCAATTAAATGCGAGCTCAAACATCTATGATGTAAATCTCCCCATCAATTTATGCTGAAATGGTAAATACTCTAACGACATGAGAAAGTGATTGTTAAGCTCATACATGGGCTGTCCTGATGCTAAGGCCTGCTCCGTGTAGAAATTTTGCAAGTACGTGCGCTCGTTCGCGAAAGAGCCCCCCTCAAAGAAGATCGAGGCAGTAATTCACCGCCGCATGTATACATCATGAAACATAAGTTTCGGTGCAAAAAACTCTTATCATGGTTTGCATCAATCAATGATTGATGACATTCTACATGTCAACAAATTTGTCGAACTTTTTGTCGGGCACTCAAGCTCGCTCTGTATCTGTTTTTTTAGAGGCTACAAGATATCTTGAAATTTGGGTGCTTAGCGAATGCTTAGTTTTGGTGATGCGGTAAATGATCATACAAAAACAAGATTTCAAGATCAAAAGGTCGATTTCTGGTCTCGTATGTCTTTTGAATTGACACGACCGTGATAGGTATTTGCGACTATTGCCACTAAATAGTGGATAGAGAAGTAATTCCGTTTGATTTAAGCAGTACGTCAAATTTGCTCAGCTTTGCTTATGAACAATTTGGCGTTTCATAGAATCTCTTGAAGATCGGTAGGGAGTTTCGCCATTGCCGCCGATGTACAAATCCAACCAATCGAGTCTTCCCTCTTTTAACTTGGACCAATGTGTGTGGATAACTTGATCCGCAACAAGTCCGATCGAAACGCCATTCAGCGTCTTATTCGTGTGAATAAGCTCATACGTAGTCACCGTCAAGTTGAAAAAGTTTAAGACTTCAACGGGTAAAATACGAGCAACAAGAAACAAAGGGAGGTCTCGGTATCGAAAGAGGATCGAAGTCGACAGTACAAACCCACATGCTTCCAGCTGAGCTCGCGTTGAAAGAAGCGCCTCTCCAGGCATCTGTACATACACTTCCGTACAACTGTCGTACAGAGACGTATTGCAAGACCGATCATCCAGAAATCTTGTAAACGAGTTGACTTCTGGGGTGGTATCTTGGTGATCCGACGTGGTATGACTTGATGATCCGACGTGGTACGACTTGTGAGTACTTACTCCGACTTTTGGCGCTTTGTGAACGAGAGCTTGTACCGAGGCATGTGCAGTCAGTCCTACGAAGGATGAGACGACAATAATGATAACAAGAATGGCAGTATAAGCGCTTAATGAGACTTCTTGGGCGCAAACAGACGAGCCGCGACAGCCGGAATACTTGGTCACGTCGCTTGCGGCTACAGAAGACATACCCTTCGCAAGAAGTGATCGTGTTGACACAGATAAAGCGCTCGTTCGACTGATTGCGAAAAGAATAATCGATGATAAAAATCCCACAACATGCGCAAAGCTCGGCTCCATTTCTTGCATTTTCAAATCTCCAGCACGGGCAAAAACAATGTTAATCGCAAGAACTACCACTAGTGTACCGCAACCAAACGCGCGAAGCACAGCCTCATTCGTATCGCCCCCAACAAGCAAATCAATGGTCAACTGTTTCCGCCATTGAACCATTCCCAAAACCATTTGAGCAACTAGAATGAAGTTATAGCTGCTACGTACGACCTTTGCAATGGTGCACGACGTTGTTGCATTCATTGTTCGAGCCCATGGAGATACAAAGGCGCAACGGATCTTGTACCATCCGCGCATGCTTGTCAAGTACGCTGTCACGACGAGAGCTAGAACTTGTAGGCTAATCAATAGTCGAATACTGAAAGTACTGTCGACAGTCACTTCGTTCACCTTGTGATTTATAAAGTTGTGACGCAATACCTCGCCTGTTGTGGTGCTTTCTACTGTCCACTCCGATAACCATATCTGTGTAAACAATAGAGAGCTGCATTCGCCTGAAAGGCTGCATTGAATCATGCGCCAGGGTGCAGGAAATGAGTAAGTGCGGTCTGCTCCATTTGAGTTCAGATCGGCTACACCACCAGACGTCCCGAGGGCTGAATACGCACACCCCAACTTATCTCGTTTTCCACCGAACAACGTCAAGTCAGCACAACTTTCACGCACAATTAGCCGCTTCGAATATGCCGACACAAGACGTAGATACTGCGAATTGCCTTGTGTAGCCACACTCCGTTCCACACGTGTTGCCTTGTAGCACACACTTTCAATCGGACTTAGACTTGCGTCAACTAGAGACGCGATCAACATTCCACCCGACATTCGAGACGGATTAAGCTCTCCCATCGTATCGGGGACATAGAACTCAGTTGATTGTAGACGAATGCGCAGATGAGCAACAGAAGTATCAAAGCACGAAGAGTCTACCCCGAAAGATGCGGAGTCCTTACTGCTTAGCAAAGCTTCAACCTGCACTGCACCCTCAGCATCAACGCCACCGAAGCACACGCTCTTGTCTGCGGGAATCCCAAGAATATCTGTAGATACCGAAAGCATAGTGGCGTGGTCCCCTGTTGTTTGATTCACTACAAGCGTACGTACTGATTCAAAGATCGACTGAGGTACAGCACGTGCGAGGTCTGTCGTTGGTGTCGGAGTTGATCCATTAAATAGCTTCGTTTGAAAATCACTACAATCCAAATGACGAGGTGCAAGAACTTGGTAATGATCGTTTTCAAATGCGAAGTAGGATAATTGTTCATATCTGTCTCCATGTCCGTCTCCAAAGACACTTTGTGGGACCAAAATGACTTGAAGTGCCAGCGGCACGAGTCCCATGGCAGCGATTGAGACAAGAGCAAGCTGACGCAAACGACCACAAAATGAAAACACAGCTTGGTAGCGCATTGAGCTCAACGCGCCCGATTTGAGCTTGAGTTGACGATCCACCTCGCCTATATCGCTGATGTCGTGATGCTGGCTAACATCTCCCATGACTTTAGAGCTTTCGGAGATTTGATAGTACAACTCTTTTGTGACTGAGATGGGCCTTTCAGGAATCAATGCTTCCAAAAATGCGATCGAGATGTAACGACAGAATTCCCACGAGAGAGCTATAGTAAGAACCCGCTAGTGCGAGATGGAAGTGCTTGTTGACTATTTTTATCATGCTCGTGGTTGTCAGTGTTATTCATAGCAAGTAGGACAAACTCAGCACTGAAGTCGCGTTTTCCTTCCAAGTATTTATTCGTATTATTGTGAGACGACAACTTTCCATAAGAGCATAACCGTGAAAATGCTCAAACCACTTCACTTAACTTGAATCACAGTTTACGTTAATCTACATTTCAACAACATAATATGGACACAGTTTTCTTGCACAGGATATGTCTATCAGTTGATAGTATCACACTTATATGGTACAATAACTCATACTTGTCCAGAACATGATATTTTTTTCGTTTCGTAAAACGATTAGATTCTACTCGTAGCAACGTTTCAGTAGCTATCAGCCTTGAAGTGGTCAGCCGTCATGACCTTGTGCCAGGCACTTGAAAAGACCTTTTTGAAAGCCATTTCATCCTCGGCAAACTTTTCCACCCAAAGTTTTAGCTCCGGTGCTTCCAGTAGCGCTAAGTCTGTATCAAGCATGTATATATCCTTATCAGAAGCCTTAAATTCCTTCGCCGAGACCGCCGTCCACGATTTCGTCAGTAGCACCTGAAAGTACTCATTTGACAGCATCGTCGAATTGTCGCTGTACGAACCGCTAGAACCCAATGTCTTTTGTAGCACCACACTACGT